ACGCGCGTCAGAAACACGCGGGCCTGACACGCGCGTCAGAAACACGCGGGCCTGACACGCGCGTCAGAAACACGCGGGCCTGACACGCGTGTGGTTTAGCGGGGCTCATCCCGCTGGATGTGTGCGGCAGACTCACTGTTCTTGGCCTTGTTCTCCTCGCCGCGGTTGATGAGCAGGAAGCGAGGGCTTTCGGGGCAGAAGGGCAACAGGATGCACTGTAGCAAGGCTGGGAAGAAGGTGAGGCCCAGCAGGAAGGGCCACATGGTCTCGTTGCCCAAGATGGCCTCAAGGCCAAACACCTGGGTGGGGGGGAATCAACACTTCAGTTGTACTTTATATAACCACCATGATGATGACTAAACTATATAACTGGAACTATCCCAGCTCCTCATACACTCAAGTATCACTCATCTATTCAGTTATTATTATTATATTACTGCTCATTCTTAAGTTACATTCTTGGAATAGCTATTCAATAGCAACCGACTTGCAATAGATCAAGTGTGAGTCTTGATGTTATTAGCCGGAGTAAAGCACTTAGCAAGTAAAAACGTCGAGCGGATTTAGAAGCGGAGGTGGCAGGCTGTACCTGCGCGATGAGGATGCCGATTACGACCCCTAGCTGGTGGAGGGTGCCCAGCGCCCCGCGGAGGTTGGTGGGAGAGATCTCGCCCACGTACATGGGCACGAAGCCAGTGGAGAGGCCGGAGTACAGCCCCACTATGAAGCGGCCAAGGATCAGCATCTCCCAGGAACCCCCCAACTTGGAGAAGCCCATACAGGCTGCCGAGAGGAATGCCAGGATGTTAGCCACCAGCATGGAGTTCTTCCTGTTGGGGGGTGTCAATCCCAGAGTTACAAAATAGTCCAATATTCACACATTTATTTACGAAAAAACAACAAAAGAAGGTGAAAACAGCAAGAATTTCCACAAACCTTTTAAAGCTCATTAAATTAATTAGTGGGGCACATTAGAAAAACAAAACTGAGTGGAGAGGTGTCCTTAAGCTGCATAAAATTGAGATCAGGGTAAAGGACAGGCGTGGGATGGGCGTGGGACGGGCGTGGGATGGGCCTACCTGCCGAGGCGATTGACAAAGAGGCCCACGGAGAAGGAGCCGATGATGCCGCCCACAGAGAAGACAGAGACCGAGATGGACCACAGCGTGGTGAGTGCTGTCTTGGTGATGCTTGTACCATAACGGTCGAACCATGTTTCATTGTAGAAGGCCTCGATGATCTGCCGGCAAGATAACAGGGTAAAGCCTATGCTCACAACAATGGCTGGAAGAACTGATTTTCAAATTCACCCTGCCCACCGCAGATAAAGGAAAATTTAAGCATAATAATAAGCATCAACAAACAAAAATGTTTCCCATGTCAACAATTGGAGGACTGCAGTACAGGAACCAACCAATAGGGGTCAGACAACCTCTATTGGCAAGAAACATTTGATACAGATCCTGGGGGCCAGAGTGTCCAGTTACCAGCTTTCCCCAGAATCCTGTGACTCATTGTTGACAAACAAGGGACTGCCTTCAGTACAGGCACTGGGCTCTCCTTACAGAATCTGACTTCTAAACTTTTCCCCAAGGTCAATTCTCCCCCAGACCCCATGACCGGTCACAAACCCTACCTCCCAAAAAAAAATTCATGAGAGATCCCTGACAGTTCGGCATTTAAACCTGGCCATCTCACCCACTGCATTCCTTTAACGTGTCGACTTTCAACTGGGAAGAGGATTAAGTCAAACAGGTTTACAGTGTTCTAAGTAAATATCGTGGCATGCTGTGTAAGCCCTGAACTATGTGCTACCCCTTTTCTTCTACCTACGAGGCAGGTCCGCTTCCGTCTGGTCACGCGCTTGGCAATGCCATACATCCATATGTCCCAGGACGCTAATCCAGTTTAACGTTCTTTGCATTTACATTCATCAGGCCGAGAATGTACAAGACCAACCAAAATTAGGAAGAATGTGTCCCTCACAAGCCCATGAGGCACTAAACAAGCTTTCAAGCATATCAGGGTCAGTCTGTAAAACATAACATTTATCCCACGACTAAAGGGCAGCAAATCAGGAAGAGAATTCCTAGCAAAGCTACGCTAATCGGGGCCGCTATTTGCGTTCTGTGTGGGGACCAACTCTGCCAGTCTATCGCGTGTGAGACATCGAATTCCTTTCATAATCATCGCCCCTTATTGCCGGGGTCATTTTCGAAGTGACATCGCTAACTAGCTCAAGACAGCGAGGCCTGAATTTAGATTTCTTGGCCCGGTGATGCCATGTGCTGACAGCTGCTGAATGCCTTTCGCAGACAAGTGCACATCAAAATAAAACGCTTCTCTCACACCACCGACGAAGGTACCACAACAAGGAGCATTTCCCGAGGTTTCCCAGCTCGTCCAAGTGCGTGATAGGACACAGTCACATGCAAGGAGGACATCCATAAAAAGGTGGGAGGAAAAAAAAACACATACAAATGCACAGGCCTATAATTAGCCAGCCCTCTAGCACCTGGCAACCCAGCTGATGAGAGGCAGGGCGTACAGGAAAATGCGGCAACATGCAGAACCACGTCAAGCAGAGTAAATATAGCCTGCCCCACCCCCGCCAATACCAAACAACCTTACCTCTTGAGGTGCGTTGATGACACCGGTGTTGTAGCCAAACTGGAGTGAGCCGATCACAGCAGTTCCCACTGCCAGCATCAGCGCAAAGGTTACTTGCTGCAACGAAAATATTACAGAGGTTTCAGGTCAGTCAAATAGAGTATTGCAGAAGCAACAGAACAGAAGAGCCGAATGGAACCTAAACGCCATAAAACGTTGAAGAGATTCACAGACGGCATCAATACATCCTGGCTGAGTGTGACTTGACAACTGAAAGAGTCGAGACCTTGCTGGTGAAGGCCACCCCCCCCCCACCATATTAATTCAGGAACTTACTTAAAACATGTATAAATGGAAACATTTCATCCTGAAAACATGTCCTAACGCTTTAGCCGTGGAAGCGTAACACTCGTCTATGTTTCAAATGCAGCAACGTCAAAGCAGCAACGTCAGGTATGTCTGGTATGTCTGAAGTCAGCGTAGGGATCTGTACGTTTCATTGCAGATTACAGTGCTGTTGTATTACATCAATATTAAATACAATTAAAGTTACAACATCATTCAACTCCAGCACACCTGGGGAAGACAGGGCTATTTCACAGTGCCGCCTTCTGCCTCGGAGTGAAGGGGGCACACTTTACATCCCAATTTTTGGATCTAACACAAGCTTGTTGTGAAGCTGTGAAACGCAGACATGGTTTCTCTGAAAAGGCCGGCGATACACACTGTTCGCGAGGGAGGAAGGAACACACGTATGGGCAAGACCAACGGCATCTTAGGGACTCTAAATCAACACACCCAGCAACACCAATTTCCTGTTGCTTTGTGTACGTGATAATTAAAAGATCTTATACTCAATTCCCTGTAAAATAATTTGCTGAAAGGTTTTTGATTTGAATAATAATACCAGCAGCAGGTCTGCATCAAAAGAGCAGGACTGATCTTCCTCTCTACACCTCCATCAGCTACTATAATTGTTTTAGAGAAAGCCGGGATTTGATGTTGAAAACAAACCAAAAAAAACTTGTCATAGCAATCGGAGCATTCACTGTCAGAACTCAAACATACTCCTACCTCACAAAGGGTATTCCAATTGTGCCATTATGCCTAAGGTCTGGCTCAAGAGGTTAATTAAAGTCATCTACATAACTTCGGACTATTTCAAATTAAAAAAAATGTTAAGGGTGGAGCAAAAAGGGCTTTGTATGACCATAATCAGCATGGACCAGTCTTCTCCCTTGCATTTTGCTCTTAAATATTTTTCATTGACAACAATGCAATCTCTGCTTCCGCAGAAATTTCAAGATTGCTCATCCTGGGGGGTGCTCCCTGATAATCGTGAGATTGCAGCTGGAGAGAGAGAAGAGGTCAGGATGTGGAGGCAAACAGTACAGGACTCCTTCCTGTCTACAATCTCACGGGTGAAGCACC